AGAAGTGAGTATCATCTAAAGCACAGTTTAAATGTTTCTTGTGTTTTGTTGCTATTGACCTTTACTTGATTTGGATATCTGAGCTATATGATGATCTCTTTTAAATGTTATCTTTGCAGCTTTTAAATTCAGAGTGCACACATGCTAAACGCCTGAAATGTAAGTCTGCCTCTCTATTATATTGGTTGCAGCTGCCAGATTGGCATTTTTTTATCGAGTTTTTTTTTTGGTAATTAAAATATTATATTAATCACCAGTAGAAACATTACAAAACAAGCATAGCTCTGCTCAGCTAGCTACTCTGAGTAAACAAAAGACAATCAACCTCCTATTGTGTTCTACTATCCAGCAGTCTAAGCCTATACATGTAAAGCTGGGTTATGGATTGCAAATTTAAAAGATCAACTTCTGTAGCTGGGTCCTCATGTCGCTCGTGCCTCTAATGTTACATACACATGCTATCTCCCTGGCTATACTTTCTTGATCTATAGCTTCTCCTTTGAAAATTCTGTTGTTTCTTTGCTTCCATATTGCATGTATGAATTCTGCATAATGTCATTTTAATAGTCTTTGCTGCGGTTGTTCTCCCTTTAGCTTTGTGCATTATCCACCTGAAGAGTAGAGTCCATGTCTGTCCTATTTGAATTTGCATTTGCAGCCACTGTAATAATCTGCTCCACAATCCCCTTGAAAAACTGCATTCCCCAAAGAGGCGATCCCTGCTTTCATCTGATACCTGGCACAGTAAACATAGTGATTGTACATTGATACCCCATTTGAGAAGTCTGTCTGTGGTAGCTAGCTTCCCATGACAGTGCAACCATAGAGTAAATACAGCTTTAGGTCTGGCTCTATTATGGTAAATCAACTTCCTCCATTCAACTTTAGGATGATTCCCCAGTAGCTGATTGTAGATGCATCTGATGATAGTTTTCTTCTGTACAGTAGCTCTTTGCAGCTGCTTGACAGCATCCCTTGTCCCCAATATCTTCTTCACCATCCAGCTTGCCTGGTTTGGTATGTTCATTTCAAAGATGTTTTGCCTTTTGATGTAATATAGATGAATCCATCTTATCCACATTTTATCTGCCTTATGTGCCACATCCCAAAATGTCTTTGCTATTGCTGCTTTATTCCACACTTGTATATTGGTGATGTTGTAGCCTCCAGCTGCTTTAGGTAGACATACTCTGTCCCAAAGCCAACAAAGCCTTCTTTGTGATTACATTACCTCCTGATCACACATAACTTCTGCAGTATGCCTCTTATCATTTTAACTACTTTGACAGGTAATATGAACATTTGGGCCCAGTATGCTTGCATATCATTTTATCGAGTTTGTTTTTGGTTGCAGTGCTTGTGTGTTTCACTTCACTGCAGCAGGAAGAGAAGGATAAGGCAGTTTCTATGGGTATTAAGCCATACTCTTGGAATGAATTCCTCAATATGGTAATTTACTAAAAGCCATTAGCAGTATTGCACCGATGGCCTAAACACTATTGATAAAGCCCTTAGTGTACTTATTTTTTCAGGTGTCTGTTCATCTTAAAGAATATTTTCCATATCCTTTGTTTTTCCCAGGGCAAAGAGAATCCATTGGAGCCTTCACCGCCGCAGCCATTAAACATATGTACAATCATGTATACTAGTGGAACAAGCGGAGAACCTAAAGGTGTAATATTGACTCATGAAAATATGACAGCATCTGTAACAGGAGTTGATCATTTTATGGAAGAATTTGAAGACAAGGTAAGAACTGATCCTTTTCCTAAAATTTCAGGCCATCTCTTTCTTAGTATATAAACATGTAACTTATCATGATTTCCATTTCTAAGTTCTCTTCGTAATTGACTTTCATCGCTCTTTATAATTTGTGCTGGCAATCTCTTAGGCCTTATGATTCTTTTGTTTTTTATTTAGACAAATCCTCATATCAGAAGTGGCAAAATTTTATTGTTCTCCAACTAATCTTTGATCTCTGAATAGATGACGCCGGATGATGTGTACATATCTTTCCTACCACTTGCTCATATACTTGATCGGATGATTGAAGAATTCTTCTTTCATAGGGGTGCTTCTGTTGGCTACTACCATGGGGTAAGGTGTTTGAACTAAATGTGTCGAACAAATTTTTAATTTAATGATTAGCGAGACTGATTCTTCTTGTCGTTGTTGTGTTGAAGAATATCAATGAGATACAAGAAGACCTGATGGAGTTGAAGCCAACTTTTTTGGCTGGAGTACCTCGGGTTTATGAAAAGATTCACGAAGGCATGAAATCTTAGTTTTTCCTGAATTATATAGATGCTACCTATTAACAATTCGAATGATGGTAATCAAGTCTCAAATTATGATTATCAGGTGTTTTGAAAGCACTTGGAGAACTCAATCCCTTTAGGAGGAGCATGTTCCACATTCTATATAACTAGTAATATTCTGATTTTGTTTGTTCTATTCAAATTTTTATATTCTGTTGTTTGCTAATCCTTTCTAATTCTATCTAAAAAAAATCAGCAAACTCAAATGGATGAAGCTTGGGTACAAACAGAAGTATGCTTCACCATTGGCTGATCTGCTAGCTTTTAGGAAGGTTGTATTCTTTTCCTAATTATGTTCTCACTTTCTTGTAACATTTCATGAAATAATGTATGCTTATTTTGTGCCCTGAGTGAAACTTCACTTTTAAGTTGCAGCTACCATCTTTCTACTCTTAATGTGGACACCAGCATATAAGCATTCTTTAGAACTTCTTAAGTAGCAGTAGCATATTCATATGTTTCACGGGGCTGCCTGCTTTAATCATAGGAACTTCAACTACCCGGAAAAAAAAATGTATTCCCATTTTCTGCATTGATCTTACAATTTTGAGAAAGTATATTCAATTATGGACAAGGAAAGAACAGATACATGTCTCCTGACACATTTATTTGGTCTTTTTGTGTAGGTAAAGAATAGGTTAGGTGGCCGGATTCGCCTAATAGTCTCTGGTGGTGCTCCCTTAGGCACTGAGGTGGAAGAATTCTTGCGTGTTACCTCCTGTGGCTTCGTCCTCCAAGGCTATGGTAAATCTAGCTTATTTTTCTGGAAATGAAAAATTAACACTTTAAGTTTTCTACCAATTGAAACACTATAAGTGGTTTGCTTCATTAACTTATGTGAGTTGTCATTTCCACTTTGAACTTTAAACACTCTTTTTATAATCCAAAGTATGTTCTATGTATAGGTTTGACGGAGACTTGTGGTTTGGCCACCATTGGGCATCCAGATGAAATGTCCATGCTTGGAACGGTTGGTCCACCATTTGTCTTCACAGAAGTGCGTTTGGAGGAAGTTCCAGAAATGGGCTATGATCCCCTAGGAGATCCTTCTCGGGGAGAGATATGCGTGAGAGGGAGGACCGCTTTTACTGGATACTACAAGAATCCAGAATTGACAAGAGAGGTCATCAAAGACGGGTGGTTTCATACAGGTTGATCAGTTTATATTTGATATATGCTAAGAATGTTGTTTCACTATATATGAAACAGATCTTTACGTTATTTACTTTATCCTTTGAGCGTATCCAGGTGACATCGGAGAAATGTTGCCTAATGGAGTTGTAAAAATCATTGATAGAAAGAAAAATGTTATAAAGCTATCTCAAGGAGAATATGTTGCAATGGAATATCTGGAAAAGGTTTATGGTATTGCGCCCATCATTGAAGATGTGAGCACCATATCATATTCGAGTTCATGAAAAGCTTATCAAATTTGAATTATTATGTTCTTGAGAGCAATGCATGTAAATTTAATTTGTGTACTTACAGATATGGGTATATGGGGACAGCTTCAAGTCCATGTTGGTGGCAGTTGTGGTGCCACACGAAGGAAACGCCAAAAAATGGGCCGATCAAAATGGACACAAGGGTTCAATTCCTGAACTTTGTTCTCTCCAAGAGCTAAATCAATATATCTTCCTTGAGCTGAAAACTGCTGCAGAAAGGAACAAGGTGAGGAATATACAATCTTTAAGTCTTGTTGGAGTAGTACTGTAATAGCGGTTTGATTTATCTAACTTCTATAAAAAACAGCTAAGAGGTTTCGAGTACATCAAAGGCGTGATTCTAGAACCTCAACCCTTTGAGTTTAACCAGGACTTGGTAACAGCAACAATGAAAAAAAGAAGGGAGAGATTGCTTAAGCATTACAAGGTGATGAGTTTTCGGCACACTCTTCTTAACCAGTTGGTCCATTTATTCAGTTCTTTAGAATGAGAAATAATTGGACAATAACCAAATTTCATACTCTTTTGCAGGTGGAAATTGATAATCTCTACCAAAGGCTTAATGCAGTACCTAAACGCTAATAACATTTTCGATTGCTGAGGCAGTGCAACTCTCGATCTACTGAGAAATCTGTGGAGTTTTGTGCTGTAAAAATTTGATCTTATACATATATTGAGTTAATGTTTGATATAACAGTGTTTTTGTACGAATGATCTGTATTACTGCAGTCATAATTTCTGAATTAAGCACCTCTATGAAATCTTTTTGCATAAGACTAGCCAGACTCGATTATATTTATGCCACATAATTTGGTTCATATGCATAACACTGAATTATAGCACTTGACGGATTTGTCATAAGAAAATTGTTGGATTTTGCATCTGTTACTGCTACTGTTTTCTAGAATAATTAGTTGTTTAGTTTTAGGAGGAGTCTGCTAGAAGATTCAGAATTTTAATTATAGTAAGAGTTTAGTAATTTAGTTGTAGGAGGAGTCTACTACTTTATTTATTTGGCTATTTAAAACCCTATGATTAATAAAATTTTAGAGATAATTTTTCAATCATATTTTCAACCTTCTTGCTACTTGCATATTTTTCTAAAATCCATAACAGTGGTATCAGAGCCTCCATTGATCTTGACGGATCTCTGAATCCGCTGAAAAACAACCAATTTCAACCACTTTTAAACCATACGCATTTTTATCCATACCGATTTTTAACCAAATTTTTAACAATGGCAAGCAGCGGTCTCTCTTTGAATACCTCACAAACTTTCACTCGTGAAAACTATCAGATTTTGTCAGTGAAGATGAAATCTTATCTTGAAGCTTATGATCTATGGGAAGTTGTAATGGAAGACAAACTTATACAACCACTTCCTGCAAATCCTACCCTTGCCCAAATCAAAGCTCATTCAGATGAGAAAACCAAAAAATACAAAGCCAAAACTATAATTCAAAATTCAGTTGCAGATTCAATCTTCTCTAAAATTATTGCATGTGAGACAGCAAAAGAGGCTTGGGAAACACTCAAACAGGAGTATCAAGGAAGTGAACGAGGCAGACAAAATCAGATTTTAAATTTGAAAAGAGATTTTGAATCTCTTAGAATGCAAGATGATGAGACCATCGCTAAGTATTCTGACCGAATTTCTTTAATTGTCAATAAAATCAGGTTACTTGGCGAGGATTTCAAAGATGACAGGATAGTTGAAAAAATTCTTGTGACAATTTTCGAGAGATTTGAATCCAAAATTTCCTCTCTGGAAGAGTCTAAAGATCTCTCTACCATCTCTGTTGCAGAATTAATAAGTGCTCTTCAAGCACAAGAGCAAAGAAGGGCCTTCAGACAAGACAAAGTTACTGAGGGTATTTTTTATGCGAAACACCAAAAAGAAAAAGTCGATTATCCTTATTGCAAATATTGCAAAAAGAAAACACACTTAGAAAATTTTTATTGGTGGAGACCTGATGCATTATGTGGAAATTACAAACAAAAAAGTCATGTTACAAAAGTGTGCAAGTTCAAAGATGCTCATGCACAAGCACTAATAGCAGAAGAAGGAATTGAGGATGACCTTCTTTAGACAGAAGCAAGGAGGTGTGTTGGATTTTGCATCTGTTACTGCTACTGTTTTCTAGAATAATTAGTTGTTTAGTTTTAGGAGTAGTCTGCTAGAAAATTCAGAATTTTAATTATAGTAAGAGTTTAGTAATTTAGTTGTAGGAAGAGTCTACTACTTTATTTATTTGTCTATTTAAAGCCCTGTAATTAATAAAATTTTAGAGATAGTTTTTCAATCTTATTTTCAACCTTCTTGCTGCTTGCATATTTTTTTTAAAATCCATAACAAAAATTTCTCAATACCTATGTACAACCACTTCGGGAATTTGTTGTTCTTCAATTATGAGGTAAATTGCTCTAAGTTACGTTATTTCATGTTTTGATGATTTGTCAAACGATTCTCGAGGAACCAGTTGTGATCAGTTCCTTTGGTTTGGTTCTCATGGGGAATATGGCTAATTTGTAGGGGGGACAATGTGGAGATCTGGTTCTCAGGGAGAATATCAGTTCTAAGTCTGTCATCATAAAAAAATGGGAAAATTGATAAGTTATGCGTCTTTTGTTTTGATGATTTGACAAACTTCATAAGAGAACCAGATAAGAAACCTGATACAATTAGTTCCCTTGCGTTCAGAGTAACTAGTCAGATGTCTGGTTCAATTCTCAATAAAATCAGATAAGAGAACAAAAGAGGGAACATATAGGGACCAGTTCCCCTGGTTGTCATGTAGTCAACTCTATAATTGTAAAAGTTGTTGCATTGTACCGTCTGTCAGCAGTACAACAACACAACTGTAGCTTGCTAAGTCCAACCTAAAGGACACTTTATTGCATCATCCTTGATGACTTCACACACACATATTATCAACATGAGACAAGGGATTTCATTTGTGTAACACTTGCAAATCCAAAACTCATATTATAGTGCTAGCCACCTCATCTCTTAAGAACAAAGCTGTTGCAACCTCAAGGACCAGATCCAAAGATTGAATATATCTTAAGTCCTTAGGTTTGTTGAGTTTTTGTTATTTTGTTCTTCATTTATAATCTTACACTACTTTCAAGAAGTGTCTTTGCAGGACAGATTTAAACCACCGTTTGGTTTAGTTTCTTGACTAGAGTTAGTCAAGTTTTGTTGATTTGTAATAGAGTTATTACAAAGGGCTTACAATAGAGTTATTGTAAGGGGTGAGGGATTAAGAGTTTAATTCTTAGATTGCAATAGGTTGTAATCAGAAGTTTGCTCGGTTTAGTGGAGCTGAAATCCTACTAGGGTAGGTTGTGGTTTTTAATCCATTGAGCAAGGAGTTTTTCAAAGTAAATATCGCGTATTCTTTATTTACTGTGGGAACAGATAGAAAATCTGGTTCCCTATACTATTTGGTTTTACAGTCTATTGCTTACTTGGGAACTGATAGAGAACCTGGTTCTCTATATAATTTAGTGGACTCGTAGTTTCTAACAATTGGTATCAGAGCAGGTTCTTTCTAAAGGGTTAACACCTAGAAAGGATCTACATGGCTGCTCTACCAAATTTTGAGGAAGGACAATCAACGTACAGATCACCACGATTCAACGGCCAATACTATGGTTGGTGGAAAACAAGAATGCATGACTTCATCATGGCTGAGGACTCAGAGTTGTGGGATCTAATTTGTGATGGCCCTTTTGTTTCCATGATAACTGTTGGTGAGGGAACAATTACAGTCCCAAAAATAAGAAAAGAGTACAACGATGCTGATAAAAAGGCTATTGAGAAAAATTTTAGGGTAAAGAAGATTCTTGTTTGTGGCATCAGACCAGATGAATACAACAGTATCTCAGCTTATTAGTCTGCTAAGGAGATCTGGGAAGCTCTTCAAACTGCCTATGAGGGAACTACTCAGGTTAAGCAGTCCAAAATTGATATGCTTACTACTAAGTATGAGCTTTTCAAGATGAAGAAGGATGAGTCTATTCAAGATATGCACACACGTTTCATCTCCATTATCAATGAGATTCACTCCCTTGGAGAAGTCATCCCAAGAAACAAGTTGGTCCGAAAAATACTCAGTGTTTTATCAGGTTCCTGGTAAAGTAAAGTGAATGCTATCACCGAAGCCAAGGATCTGCAAAAGCTAACCATTGATAAACTCATTGGAAATCTCAAGACCTATGAGATGAAGAGAAAGAAAGATCTTGAAAGAAGAGAGCCCAAGAAGGAGAAGAACTTGGTTCTCAAAGCTGCCCACATCGACTTTAGTAGTGATGAATCTGACACGACGTATCTCACTCGAAAATTTCAAAAGATGATTCGTAAAATGGTGGAATCCCAAATAAAGGAAGTTCCAGCAGGACTTTCAAAGGAAATGATTGTTGTCATAAGTGTGGAAAGTCGTGACACTTCATTAAAGACTGCCCTCTTTATAAGCAGGATCATTACAAAACCACACTGAAAAGGTTGCTAAGATGAACCAGGTCCATGACAGAAAGTTGAAAAGAAGAGATGTTGCTGACAACATGGTGAAGCAACCCCTGGCTGACCATAGAGATTCCTCCGGTGAATCTGAAGGTGAAGATGATCAAGGAGATACATCTATGATGGTTGTTGACAATGAATCTTCAGAATATGAGTCAATCTTTGCACTTATGGCCAAATCTGATGAGGAGGAGGACAAGGAGGAAGATGAGGTAAGTTTTCTTGATGTTCAAAGAAATTTGAAAACTTACTCTAAGAAAAAATTAATGTCCTTAAAAAATGTATTGATTGATGCCTATCATAGCCTCATTAATGAGAAAAATGCTTTAATTGAAGAAGTTGGTAACATAGAACAAGAGAGGGATGATATGGTAGTTTTCATTGTAGATTTAAAGGAACAAGTGGAAGAAGTAACTAGAGAAAATACCTTGTTGAAAAACCAAACGAAAAAATGGATGGACATCCCTAAGGGTAAAGAAGTGGCTAGTGAGGCTCAACTTGAACTTGAGAGTGAGCTTAAGAAAGTTAAAACAAGTCTTGTTGTTGAGCTTGAAAAGAATAGACAACTTCAGGAGGAACTGAAAAAGGTTTAAAATGATCTTGATAAGTCACTTAAATGGACTCGGTCCTCTGATGTAATAACGTCTATGTACAAGAGTAATGGTGGAAACAGGCAAGGAATCGGGTTCCAAAAGGCTAAAACCTCTTATAATCCTCATAGCAAGTATGTAACTGTGGATGATAATTGGTTGTGTACTCACTGCGGTCAAACTGGCCATTACAAGGACTCTTGTAAAGTTAAAATCCAGTCTCTATAGAAAAATAAAGTTTTTGTTGAAAAGAAGCATACTGTTGAGGAACCTGGTCCTCTAAGAGGAAAATATATGTTGCCTGCATGGGCGAAAAGAAGTTTGATCCGCCCGTTCTACTTTATAAGGGACCCAAGCTGGCTTGGGTTCCTAAGTCTAATCAGTGATTTCATGTGCAGGCTGGAGTGAGAGGTAGCAGTCAAAAAATGGTACATGGATAGCGGTTGCTCTAAGCATATGACTGGAAGAATGGATGATTTCTTCACTCTAGGCCTTCCAAGGCGGGAGTGTGTCCTTTGAAAATGGCAATAAGGGCTATATTATTGGTGTTGGCAAAATTGGCAAAACACTCTCCCATGCAATTGAAAATGTGTACCATGTGAATGGTTTGAAATATAGCTTGTTGAGTGTGTCTCAAATATTTGATAAGGGAAAATGAAGTGAAGTTCCTGTTTTGCACTGTCACCAATCTCAAAACTGGTAAAGTGGTGTTGATAGCCAAAAGGTTCAAGAACATCTATGTTGTAGACTTTGATTCACTGAATAATGGTGATCTAACATGCCTAAGTGCCATTAATGATGATGCTGAGTTATGGCGCAAACGACTAGGGCATGCGAGTTTTTATTTGCTGAACAAGTTGGTTATAACGGACCTGGTTCATGGGCTGAAGCAGTCAACACTACCTGCTACTTGATTAACAAGTGCATGATCAGGTTCCTTCTCGAGAAGTCTCTCTATGAACTGCTCAATGGGAGAAAACCCAAGCTGACTTACCCAAGAGACTTTGGATGCAAAATGTTTTGTTCTCAATAATAGTGGCAAAGGGTCACATAACAAAGAAGATGAAGATGGAGAATTTACAAATGCTCATGGTGAACCTATAGATATTGCAAATAGAAAGACTGTTTTGATGAGTCAAGTCAAGCAGAGCGATGAAGGAGATGCAGCAGAATCTCCAAAAGGCACAGTTGGTCCCTCTATTACCTCGACTGAAGCTGAACATAGGGTTGCTGATGCTGCATTAGGTACTCTTGATACAGAACAAAGGAGTGAAAGTTATAATTTTGTTGATGCCAATGATGTTTAAAATATGGAGGAACCCGGTCCTTCAAATTCTGAAGTTAAAGTATCCAACTGGAAGCAAAAGAGTTCACATCCCTTCAAACTGTAATCACACCCATAGACTATGTATTTAACCTAGATTTAAGTCAAGGAACATGTTTGCCCTCTCAGCCTTCTTGTCTTAAATCGAGCCTAAAAACATCAAAGAAACATAGAAAAATGCTAACTGGATAGCTGATATGCAAGAAGAACTCCATCAGTTTGAGAAGAATAAAGTGTGGCACTTGATCCCTAGGATTTCAGATAGAACACTGATTAGAACCTGGCCCAAAAGAATCTCACTTGAAGGCTGCCAAAGGAATTTTGAAGTATCCTAAGGGAACGCAGGACTTGGTCCTTGTCTATTTTAGGAGATAATTTTGACTTGGTTGGATATGCTGATGCTGATTGTGTTGAATATCTGGTGGATAGAAATAGCACATCTGGAATGAAATATTTTTTGGGGTCATGCTTGATCTCATGGGGTACAAAGAAACAAACTTTGAGGCTCTTTCTACTGGTAAAGCTGACTTGAACCCGGTACAACCCAAGAGGACAAAGCGCATTGATGTGCGATATCACTTTTTGAGGGATAATGTTGAAAAGGGTCTTATTTGTATGAAGTTTAGGAAGACGGAGAACCGGTTAGAATA